GGACAAATCACCCCAAGGGAGAGTTCGGGTGGTCTCTTGGACAAATCACCCATTCAGTTTCCGCAATAGGGTCTGCACGTAAGGGAAGGCGCAAGAGAAAGTAGGGCTTTCTCCCTGAGGACCGACCCGTGACGAGATCCTACGCGCGGGCCCATAACATTTGGTATCAGAGCCAAACATCACGGGCGATATGGAGCAGCTATCATTCAAGGTCAACGAACTAGAACATAGGCTAGCAGAAACCAGCATGGAGGTTCGTGAAGTCAAGGAAGATGTTCGGGAGCTGCGACGCCTGCTGGAAGCATTCCTCTCCAACAAGGAAGGGAGTTCTGAAGGAATCGCCAAGACAAACAGTCGTCGTCCGGACTGGGCGGAGGCATCCAGCGAACAGCAGATCGCTGCCCCGACAGTCGCAGTTATTTCCAAGGATAGCTGTTTGGAGTCTTCCCCATACAGCGGCAGCGGCAACCCAGTGGGATGGCTGTACCGCTGCGAGCAATTCTTTCGTAACCAGCGCACGGAGGATGAAACTGTAAAGTCTCCTCCTTTGGCCGGGGATGGTAACTATGCAGAAATCCAAGAAACAGGAATGCGCAAGAGATATAAGGTGGATGGGCAGGATATGGAGGTAACTTTCTCTCAAGCTTATATTGATGGCATGGATTTTGTGTTCATAGACAGCCCTATGTTCCGCAATATTGAGAAAAATATATATGGGGGTGGCCGAGGGGATATTTTAAAACACATGGTTCGCTTCTGTAAGGCTGCTCTTGAGGTTCTCTTCTGTAAGTATACCCGGTGCGTTCCTGTGATCCACAACATAGCACACCGAGGTCGTGGTCCAGTACACGATTTTCGTTATGTGGACCTTCCACAAAACTACTTCAAACTACATGACCCAGGAGGTGGGGAACACTTCAAGGTCCTTGCAGCTGGCCTGAAAGCAGCAGATTGTGTAGTCACGGTAAGCCATGGTTACGCATGGGGGCTGAAAACTAAAGGAAGCTGGGGTCTACATCAAATAATAAATGAGTGTGATTGGAAGTTAAAGGGCATCGTGAATGGGATTGATGCAAAAGAATGGAACCAACTTTATGCATTGAGCTATGGGACAACCCCTGTTGTTCATGCTGTTGGTGGACTGAGAGATAAGTGTGCAGCCGTTTGATCCATTGGCAGAGTTCCAAGCCTCGTATCCGGAATTTGAGCTTGAGGACAAGCTTGTTGTCCAGGAGGGGTGTGATGTTATGGTCACACCAACCGGCAGCGCACTGCGACACAGTCATAGGCAGCAGTACGCACAGTAGGCCGCACAGCAGTAGGCACCGCCTGGCAGTGCCGCACAGCAGCCTGGCAGCATGCAACACACACCGCCCGACAACGCGCAGCACGCACCGCCTGGCAGCACGCAGCACGCACCAACCGACAGCGCGCAGCATGCACCGCATGGCAGCAACACGCACCACACGGCAGCAACACGCACCGCATGGCAACAGCACGCACCGCACGACATTAGCACCGTGAGACGCGTGCACCGCCCGACAGCAGCAGTAGGGTGGGGCCCACATGACAGCTCATCAGGGTGGGTCCACACTCTGCTCACCAACTCACCGCCAGCTTCACCATCCCTTATCCCTTGTCCCTTACCTTATCTTATCACTTATCCTTATCTTATTTTATCTTCTTAAGTAAGAGTTGTGTTACCATTAGGTGTAGGTAATTAGGAGTTTTAGTTTGAGTTGGATTACCCTAACCTAGACGAATCCAACAAGGAATTTCCCTCTGTAATCTCCTATTTAAGGAGCTACTAATTGAAGTAAAGGTATTCAGTTTTCCAGTCAAGAAAAGAGTGAGGAGAGTTTGGGTGGTCTCTTGGACAAATCACCCCAAGGGAGAGTTCGGGTGGTTTCTTGGACAAATCACCCCAAGGGAGAGTTCGGGTGGTCTCTTGGACAAATCACCCATTCAGTTTCCGCAATAAGGTCTGCACGTAAGGAAAGGCGCAAGGGAAAGCAAGGCTTTCTCCCCGTGGCCGACTCGTGACGAGATCCTACGCGCGGGCCCATAACACAGCCTAAGTAAAAATATTTCGAATAGAAAAAGTGTAAATATCACACCGAATTCTTGGCATGCCAAATCTTTTGGGTAATCTGAGAAATTCTTGAAAACACAATCCTAAAAACCAGGGGAAAGGGAAGAGACTACTCATTTTTGGAGGAGAATCAAAAACGAAAATAACAAAAGAATAAATCATGACATCTTGGATAAGTTGATCTTCATCCTTTGGCAAATCTGGAAAAATAAAAACAATACAATTTTTAATAATAAAAGCACTCCCCACCCACCCCCCCACCACACACACACAAATATTAGCTAAAAAATCCAATGCCCATAGATTGGAGTTCATTGTATCTAACATTACGAGGAGAACAAAGTAGAAATCCCATTAAAAAAAAGCTCAAGATCAGCTTTGAATCCTCCAGAAGACCAGATGGTCAATGTGCAATAAGAGTCATTGTGCGAAATTAGGAAGATCAAGCTCTGTTCGTACTTGGTAGAAGCATTGAAGTAGTCAAGGTAGCCACAAAATTTGTCATCATCAATAGCTTGGAAGGTCGAGATGGCCCTCAATGCCTCAATGGAACATTAAGCAGCTTATCAACGAGTGTTTTGAGGTTTGTAGGAAGGCCCAACTAATTCTATTGGGTTGAAGCAAACTTCATGGCAGATTGGTTACTCCTCCTTTAATTTATAGAATGACCTGGCTGTTACTTGTTTGCTTTTCTCTATATTTATAATAGTGATTCATGGGGTAGATCTACCTTTGCCACCTTTTAGTTGTTTTGATTTATCACCCTTTCTACCAAGAAACGCCACAAAAAAGCAAGCTTTGAGAGACCATACAATGTTTCTTATTAGCTAATCTCGTAATTTTTTGAAAGGTACCTAATCCTATAATCCAGTTACTAGATGCCATAGCTCCCTAACCAAGACTCTATAACGAATCGTTTGGACTTTGGTGAGCTTATATCCTCTCCCACTTTTTGCTAGGGCCACTCTTTCTTTAAGATTTTATACAGATTGGGTTAGCATTTAGAGTTTTGAACCCGTTTGGTTCACAGGAATAAGGGTCTGGAATTGGAATCGGAATCCGATTCCCATTCTTGTTAGAATGGCCATTCCCTGTCTCAATTTTGGAAATGAAATCTTATTCCTGTTGATTTCAATTCTCATTTTCATTCCTGTCTAAATCAAATAAACTATGAAAATAGGACATTTCAATTCTGATTCCAAAAAATTTCAATTTCTATTCTGATTCTGACTGTGAACCAAATGAATCCTTGGAGTTGTAAATCAAGAAGATGTGGCAATACCAAAAATGGAGTTGCGATCTTGCAAGAGAGTTGCCATCATTTGATTACCAACACTTGATAGTTGGTAGCATGCATTTACATTGATGTCAGTCGCCATACTCTTACTTTTTGACATCTGATTGGGTAGAAATCTTCATCCTAATACAAAAAAAGGTAAGAAGAAACACTAATTCATCATGTGGGCCCAGACCCATCCTAGTAAATCTTTGAATTAATAAAAGAAAATTCGGAAAAGTATGGATTTGCCCAATGCAGATTTCTGATTTACACTGCAGGGTTATAAATATTCAAATGGACCGATACCCACACTCTATGCATCCATGCCCGCCTGTGAATTGACATCAATTCCGAGCTGGCACCTACCCCGACCGTACATTAAACCTACAAATTCTGACACTGAGGGTATGTAGTTCTCCAAAATCAGAAATCAACAATTATATCCTGAAAGAAATGAAAAATGCTGAAGCGAACAATTTTGAAGCCAAAAGTAGAAGAGAGGATGAAATAGAGAGAGAGAGAGAGAATATACCATGCTATTCTAGTTAATTTTGTGGATGTTTTTTTTTACTCTTGGATACTATAGTGAAATAAACATTAGACACTATTGATAGTGTGATCTGAGAAGAAATTTTAGTGTGCATAGTAAGTGCTTAAACCATGATATCAATGTTTTAAAAGTGTAACCAATTAGGCTTTAGAAATATTTATTAATTTTATGTTTAAGCATGAAAATTTTCTTCTTCTTCAATTTTACTTAACAAAACTGGTGCCAACCAATTATTAATATAAACAATCAGTTTTGCTTTATTTTATTTAAAAGGGTTTGATTATAATACTAGAGAGACTAGCAAGAAGAATGAAAGATTACACAGACAAACCCAAAACCACTAAAACAACACAAGAGGAATGAAAGATTACACAAGACAAGCCCAACATAAAGCCCAGTCCCAGGTAGAAGAGTAGCAAGTAGCCAAGCAAAAAGGAAACCGACTAATAAAGCTAAGAAAAAAAAAACGCTTTAACAAGACTTTCTACCTCTACCTCCTCTCCCTGTGCCCCTTTACAACCTCTCTTACCCAAGCTAATACCTATGTCCAAGTAAATGTCCCTTAAATCTTTTGATTTCTTAAACCCAAAGGATATCACTAATGTAATAAACCAGCACATCATCACTATGCAATAAGGTTGGTAGAATCAATTGAACTCCTATGTATCACCACTAGCTTCTTAATTAAGCTCAAGACCCTCATCCATTAGGTCACACCAAAAGAGGGAACTTGCAATGATCCCATGTCCTTTCTTTCAACTTCAGAGACCTTAACCTCCTCATCTAAGCTGAGGATCCTTGGGATTCTTAGCCACCTCACTTACCTTCAGAGGTGACTCAGGGACCGGAGTAGAAATTCCCCCTCCTACCCTGGGTAATGAGAAGTCCACAATCGAGTTGGGAGGCTTTTTTTCCTTTTAAGGCCTCTCTTTGCAACTCTCCTACAAACAAAATCAATAACAACCTTCCTAAGGTGACATTTATCAAAATTCATGGGGTGGGGATGGGCTTGATTAGTCAAAGTTCTTTTTGTATCATGTCCTTCTAGAATCATCTATACTATATAAAGCAAATAATACTTGCTTTGGTTTCAATGCATGTTATAAAACTTAAATCCAAATACCATATATCATATATGATTAATACTTCCTTGAATATACATTCACATTAGTATATTTAAAAGTATACAAAATAAAGGAATTATTTTTTTCAAAAAGCAATGACAGGATTTAATTATCATTCAAGAAGTGCACAAAGAAGTACATGTATACCTTCCATTGGCATTGATAACATATATGTCCCTTAAAAATATTTAAGAGATAACTCACCTCATTGTACTTTGTCTTTTAATTCAAAAAATTCAAGAAAGAAAAAAAAGGGTTAATAACTTATATATACCTTATACATTTGAGAAACTACTTATATATACTCTAAACTTTTAAAAACTACTTATATGTGCTTTATTGATTGATCCCACATAACATAAATAGAACCTCTATCATTGCACCATTTAGAGCCATGAACAGTTCGCTCCAAAAATTTTTATAATATCGATTTTGCCCTTAAATGTTCAAAACATTAGGCAAAAAATGTCCAAGCCCAAGATTTACAACGGCTTTGGGAGCTTTCAAAATGATGGCTTGCTTTAATGGCAATGGGAAAGTGGGAATGACAAATTTACAATGTGTTCTTCTTATCCTTCTTCTTCCTTCTATTCTTCTGTTTTTTTACCTAGGTTTAATTAATTCTGTGTTTGGAGAAGAAAGCATGGGAAGAAAGACAGAGAGAGGTATGGGGAAGTATATGGAGGTATTGGATGTGTTTAGGATTGTAGCAAAGATTCAATCTCACTGCCAGCTTTAATGGCAATGGCAATGTTCTACTATAGTCCTACTGTGAGTACAGATCTAGCATTGGTGCTTGCAACATCAAAGAAAAGAAGGGAAGCAGGAAGAGAGAGAGAGAGAGAAGAAAAAAATAACAAAAATGACATATTTTAAAATTTTGATCAATAGTCAGGGATACTTTTGTCTTTTTCATATTTAATCTGTTAAGGCCTGTTCGTTTGTTCTAAAGTCTGACATCTGAAAGTGCAATAATTAAATTAAGAGGTATATTGGTATTGGTGAACTTTTCTTTCCTCTGAAATCTAAATGCAGAGAATGTTGTTCTGAATTCTGAGTTCTGTATTTTAAAAATCATCAATTATCCATTTTGACCCCATAGATGAGAGTTTTTGTTTGTCTT